AAAATAAGAAAAGTGTAACTTGTTAGAAAAAAATTAAATTTAATTATTTAATCATAATAATTTGTGTTTGTAACGTTTCTATTAACTAAAGGAGTACTTCAGTTTAATTTTGATACAAAAACCTGATCAAAATTAGTAAAATTTAATTAGTTCTTAAACTTTATAAAAAACCAGGTTCAATGTAGCCTACCCTCCCCTATTTGGCCCATACTATTCTGTACTTTGATAGACTTTGCTGGATTTTGCCCGTATGATTTTTGTGACACTCCTTCCGGTCTGCAGGCGCCCTCGACCTCCACTCGTGTCACAAAAATCACCGTAAAAAAAAGGCTGCCTTTATACCCTTGTTGCTTAATATACTATTAACCGGACTACTCTGTTTCTCTTTATAAATGTTCAAAGAATAATATACAATTTTTAACAAATGAAATTTGTTAAGTTAACTACTTTTTACAAGACCCAAATGTTGACAAAAAAACCAAAATAGGTTACTATTGGCAAAAAATATTAATTCTGAAAAAAACAAGAAATTTAAACTGCTAATCATGGTTTCTAATGACTTTAAGGTCACTGATTACAAATCTGAAGTCATATTTCAAAAATTCAAAATGGCGGATCCAATATGGCGGCCATGAAAATTTTTAAATTAATCAATTTATAGAAAACTTCGTATCAGGGGGTTTTGGGGGTCCCTGATTACAAATCTGAAGTTAATAATTTAAACAGGACCTCGATGATAATCAGAAATTAGAAGGTTAGTATTTATTAGCTTGATAAGGTTAATTCACAAATTAGATGATACGATTTTATATACATATTTTGACTCCATCATCCTTTGTTACACTTTCTACATAGTAAAGATTAGAAAAATACATGTGATGTTACACTTAGATAGTTACACTTAGGAAAAAGGGTACATAAAAGTATGGATTACACTGTGTGACAGTAAATGGCACTTTAAATCGGACCTATCCTAACTTGTTCGTCTTGAGAAACTCAAAAAAGCAGTATGTTTGAAATTTCCTAAACACTCCCAAAATTCAATTTTAGGGGCAAAAAACCGTTTTTTGTGTATTTATGTAGAGAATTATATGTATCTTCCGTAATTTTTAACCGATTTTCAAAATTGTTCTTTTGTTTGAAAGGGGAAAAGCACATCTTTTTAACCGTGTATTTCTCGTTTAGTCAAAACAAAAATTGACAAAACGGCGGTTGAAAATATTTGCGATTTATCGATTTTCATTACATTTTTTTAACTTAAACGGGTTTTTTAGAACAGTATTCGAATTTGCAGATTTTTTAAATAATAATTTCTTAAAAGTATACTTAATTCTGCGTAAAATGATCATTTTTTAAATAAATTTTAATACAGATTGAGGGAGATACGTGAATTTTCAGATTTTAAAATTTTTTCGCTAAATTTACAAATATTTCAATTTTGTTGTGGAATTTACATCAGGGCACATTAATTTTTGTATTCACTAAATTTAATTGACTAACTAAAATGGCATGCATGTCAAACCTGTTTTTGATAGATTTAAATAAAGACAGAGTCCGTATTTAGAGGGGGGGTCCGGTTAAATTTTAACTTTTCTATATTTATATTGTTTAAGTGTGTTAATGTTTTTTAAACATTACTTAGGAATAAAATCTATTCTATATTATCAAAATTAATAAAATTGTTCAGTATTGCGAAAAAGCATATGAAAAGATCGACAATAAAAAATAATTAAAAAATGTGGTAGAAGTTCAAATTTATATTTTACGAAATTTTAAGGCATTCTTATATAAATTGTCAAATAAGTATCTGTTATTCTTTATTTGAAGATTATATAATAGATTTTAATCCTAAATAATGTTTGAAAAACATTGACACACTTAAGCAATATAAATTATAGAAAATTTAAAATTTAACCGGACCCCTTTCTAAATACGGATTCTGTCTTTATTTAAATCTATCAAAAACAAGTTTGACATGCATGCCGTTTTAGTTAATTAATTAAATTTAGTGAATACAAAATTTAAAGTGCCCTGATGTAAATTCCACAATAAAATTGAAATATTTGTAAATTTAGCGAAAAAATTTTAAAATCTTAAAATTCACGTATCTCCCTTAATTTGTATTAAAATTTTTTCAAAAAATGCTCAGTTTACGCAGAATTAAGTATACTTTTAAGAAATTATTATGAAAAAAATCTGTAAATTCGAATACTATTCTAAAAAGCTCGTTAAAGTTAAAAAAATGTAATGAAAATCGATAAATCGCAAATATTTTCAACAGCGCTTTTGTCAATTTTTATTTTGACTAAACGAGCAATACACGGTTAAAAAGGTGTGCTTTTCCCCTTTCAAACATAAGAACAATTTTGAAAATCGGTTGAAAATTACGAAAGTTACGTTTAATTCTCTACATAAATACACAAAAAACGGTTTTTGTCCCTAAAATTAAATTTTGGGGGTGTTTGGGAAATTTCTCACACATCATTGTTTATAGTTTTACTAGACCAACAACTTGTAATAGGTCTCCATAAAAGTGCAGGCAACTTTTTTTATTTTGTCACACAGTGTTATTAGTTCACTTTAACTAATCGATTTATTAGGAACATTACTATTTAAATCAGAGATCGACTTTTTTTTATCAAAATAGTTATTTCTAATTATCTTAAATTTAGGTAGAACTTTCACAAAAATTTTGTTCACTAATGGGATAAGATATTCCATAATTAAGTATCATAAAAAATTATTAATTTTTTAAACATTATGCCCGACAGATTGGATCCGATACCTTAAATTTTTGAAATCTGACTTCAAATTTGTAATCAGAGACTCCCACAACCTCTTGATACGAAGTTTCCTAGAAATTGAATAATTTTAAAATTTTCAATGCCGCCATATTTGATCCGCCATTTTGAATTTTTGAAATATGACATCAGTTTTGTAATCATCGACCTCAAAAACAATAGAAACCATGATTAACATTTTAAATTTCTCGTTTTTTTAGAATTAATATTTTTTGTCAATAATAACCTATTTTGGTTTTTTTCTGGTCAACTTTTGGGTCCTGTAAAAAATATTTAACTTAAAAAATGTCATATGTTAAAAATTGTATATTATTCTTTGAACTTTTATGAAGAGAAACAGAGTAGTCCGGTCAAAAAATATTAATTTTCAACGATTTTACAGGAAATCTACGCAAAAAGTTTTTTCCCATGCAAAATTTCAATAGCCTATAGGCACCACTAAATATTAGTTTTAAAAAAATAAAAAAATACGTATCTAATTTTTTTCAATTTGTGACAAAATGCGACCCGGAAATGGACAAAATTCCAAAATGTCGTTTTTAACGGCCACCCTAATATACATAGGGTAATGTCACCTTGAGTGGACCGCCTAAGCTTTTTTTCGAAAAAATTCTTTATGTAAGAAAATTAATCGGAGGTTTCTGTTCCATGCTTTAGTTTAGATCCCTAGGTAAGTGTTTACACTATAATAGCTCTGTTTTATTTTTATTTGGAAAAAACAATTAACTTTCAAAAAATAGCTAATTTTTAAGGAATGAAAAAAATGTAACCTTGAGTGGACCACTCCTAAAAAATTGTAAAAGTTATTATATTTTCTTTAATTAATTTAATATTTCTGATATATTAAAACAAAATTTATGCTTATGCAGCTTCAGACCAAGATTGTGTCGCAATGTTTACAAGTGAAACCACTTTTAATAATTTTGGCACATATCACATCAATATCACAAAAAAATTAATAAAGAACATAAAACATAGTTTCAAACCAATTTATTGTCAATTTATTTCCTTAAAAATGGTAAACTGACATTAAAAATTTAAAAAACAGGAAGTCCTCTCATGGTTATAAACAGTGGTCCACTCATAGTCAAATACAACTTTTTATAGCAGCCACCACAATTTTTTTTGAGTCAAAATTATCACTTAATTAAACTAAGACAATCAATTTCAATGTCCAAAGTCCTACCAAAAAAAAGCATGAAGGCATGGGCAAGGTCGAATATCGAAAATATCGAAGAGAACTCGCAGCGCGATTAGGAACAAAGCATTAGAGAAAGGCATACTCATAAGCAAAAGTGCATGATGCAGATGGAGCTGCGGTTGTCCGATTGTTGGTTGGCGCAAACTTTTAAATATGCTGATTACCTTTTTTGAAATTTATTCAATAAGTTTTTTAACATATAAATATTTTGCATTTTTCTTATATAAATAAGCAGGTTATAATTTTTTTAATACTTGAATTAAATTGAATTTTTTTTAATACTTGAATACTTGAATTAAATTGAATTTTTTTTTATTGAATTAATTTATTTCCTTTTGTAAAGAAATTATTATTATTTATTTATTATTATAGAAATTATAATAAAAAATGCAATTATTTTAATAATTTATTTCCTTTCGCAAAGAAATTATTATTATTTATTATTATAGAAAATTATATTAAAACAATGCAATTATTTTAATAAGATTTAATAAGAAAATTTATTTATAGAAAATTATAATAAAACAATGCAATTTTATTTTAATAAGATTTAATAAAAAAATAAAATTTTTTTAAATATTTAATAATGTAATAAGAAAATTAAAAAATACATTGTATTAAAATTAGAAACAAATTTACTTAAATTATTTTTTTATATTTTTTAAATTAAAAAAAATTGCTTATAAATCTTAATAAACAGGTTATAATTTTTTTAATACTTGAATTAAATTGAATTTTTTTAATGCTTGATTAAATTAATTTATTTTGTAAAGAAAATTATTAAATAGAATATATATAATATAATAATTAATGCAAATTAAATTATAAGCATAGGAGAATAATTAATTCAGAATGCAATTATTTTTTAAATATCAAATTACACAAAAAGTTTATTACACAGCCAGTGGTAATAATACACATTTTTTATTTTTCATAACATAAATAAAAATCTAATCAGACTTATTTCACATTTTTCGTATTTTTGGTCATACTTAGAAATCTAATTAGACTTATCTCACATTTTTCATCTTTTTGGTCATATAACCGATTAATACAGTCGAATCTGTCTGAATGCAACTTGATTTTTACATTTTACAAGCATTAAAAAATTGTTTAATAATTTAATTTTTGCAATATTTTTGCAATATTCGGTAACTGAGTGGTAATAATTTTTGTTAAATATTTTTGAATAGAAATTTTTTTTAAAAATTAAATAGAGTATTATTTAGACAGGTTTGACTGTACTTAAGTTTCAGGTAAATACGTAACGACAAACTATAAGTATTTTCTATTGAAATAGAACTGCCCAGTGTCTCTTTATTCTGGGAACCATGTGGTAACAAATTAAAAAAAATTAAGTTTTAGGTAAATACGTAACGACAAACTAAAAGTATTTTCTATTGAAATAGAACTGTCCAGTGTGTTTTTATTCTGGGAACCATGTGGCAGAAAATTAAAAAAAATTGAAACGAAAACAAAAAGTTTAAATATATTATTAAAAAATTTTAAACTTGATTGAGAAAAAAAAAATTTTAAACTTGATTGTGAAATCATAATACGAACTTTAAAAAAAATGCAATATTGCATTAATTTTTTATATTTTTGATTTTTTTCGGGGAAGGCAGTTTCGGAAAGTCTTCCTTTCTGAATAGACGTTTTTGAGAATTTTCAGTATTCTGAGAATTCTCAGAACAAGGTGAGACAACTAGATTTCCGGACGGTGCATGAACCAAATGATCAGCAGGCAGCGAATTTTCCACAGAAACATGTCGATTAGGAAGATGATTTGAAGTTCCAGCATTTGAATCTTCTCTTGGCAATTTCTGAGAAAGCTGTTGATGCACAAAATTTTGATTTACAGATCGCGAATTCTCCATTGGACGATTAGCAGAAGGTTCGGAATTCGTATTTACTCGAGGAGGAGTCCGAAATCCTTTATCCAGTTCTTCTTCCGTGACAGATTTATTTAAGTCTTCGATGTCATGCATCGCAGTTACTTGCAGCACAATAGTTTTATGCTCATTTTCGCGTAGAGTCCCTTTGACGCTAACAAATCTTCCTTCCTCATGATTTGATTCATTGTTAAATTGCGAAACGTTAACAATGAGCTTATAGTGTAGATCGGTTATAGAACCGCAGCCGTAGGAGGAGTTATTAAAAACCACTGGTTCAATCTTCATTTTTATGTAGGCATTAATATCTGAAAAAATGATAATTTAATATTATTTTAATAAGAAACAATAAATTGATTTTAAAGGTAATTGAAAATAAAATTTTTGCGATATTAATAAATAAAAAGAGATTTCACAACTGTAAAAAATAAAAGTAGGAAATACTAAAGAATGAATTTATAAAAATTAGAAAAATCAAATTTGTTTCATAAAAATCAAAATTACAATAATATACGAAAATGTTTCTCTAACAACAATGAATCCATTAACAGAAATATTTAAATTAATAATATATACATATGATACTTACTGACGCGTTTCCCAATGCCGGAGCCAACATCTTTCATTTCCATTGGAGCGTAGACAGGTGAATCCTCAATTTGTAGATCGCCTAAAACTTCAACTTTCGTGTAGTCTTGGATGGATATCTCAATGGGCATCAGCCCTTCTTCTTTTCGGTAAAATGAAGCGCTTGCTGGGATTATTTTCCCTCTTGATATTTTAATTGTCTAAAACAAATATTAAAAAATGAAATGAATAGAATATTTTAAATTTAATCATTAATTAACTGTTAAAAATATAAAATCATTTGTATAAAAATTAAAAAATTTATTTAATCAAAATAGAATATTTCTAAATTCAAAAATATTTTTAAAAATTGGTAATTATCAAATATAATTAAAAATGATCTAAAATTTTCATTTGAAAATCAATCAAACATGAGATGAAAAAATAAATATTAAAATTTAACTAAGTGAATAATAATAATAATAATATAAATAATAAAAAAATAATATAACAATGAGGCCGTTCAAAAAATACGTGTAACGCTTACAGGGGGTCGCTATTTGTAACGGTCAGCAGAAAAAATGGCGCCAATGTATGCAACAGTGCGTTAAATAAAGAGGGGGGTAAAATTAAAAAAGCGTCACGTATTTCCTGAACGTCCCCTAATAATAAAACAAATTACCTTATGCAGCAATTTGCCTTCATACTGTTTATGCAAATCCTTCCACACGACGAGTCTGAGTTTGCGATTCTGTAAATTCGATAATATGTATCGCACTGGTGAATTAGGAGTTTCCCTCCTATTTATTGTCCTTTCTAGAACTGCGAGTGTCACTTTTCTGAAAAACAAGTAATTATTAAATAAATAATGAATTAAATAATAATATGAAAATAAGTAAAATATAACAAAAAATTTATATTTTTTTCATTTTTGGTAGGAAAAAGTTTAAAAGTTAACACGTGTCTTAGTTCATTTAATATATATTCTCTTTTTTTTAATTAGTAAAACATATAATAAAAATACTTACATAGTATTATCACCTAAGGAAAAAGCATCCAATTGTTCGTCGCTGCAGTAAACAATCATCGTGATGATTCACAATTACTACGATTACGTTTACTATGCCACGCGTCCGCACTTGCCGTTAAATAATGCAATAATGGCTTACAGGAAGAACCATGAAGTTGTAAAACATAGATTGATAGAGTTTACTACTTAAAGTCCAACGCACAACAAATTTGCAAAAGTCGTTCGCGAACTGTTGTGCGTGGACCTTTACATACATGAGAATGCACCTTAGTGAGTCATGAAAAGTCGCAATTCGCATGTTCAACCCTAAAGCGAAAAACTTTTATTTCGCATACCCATCTTGAGATTATATTCTGTTTCTGGTTGTCATACGAGAAAAATAGAATAATTGTTGTTTAAAAAAGTGTTGTGCAATCTAATAAACAAAAAAAAAACAAAAAATTGGAGAAGGTATTTATTTGTAATATCTGTTTAATCTTTAGAGATTGACATTGTGATTTGCGTTTTGTTTTTTTTTATTAAAAAAGCAAAATAAATTATTGTACCTATATTTTGGAACTATATAATTATAACAAAAAGAACAATTAATATTACTTAATTCAGTAATTAATATTAATATTATTTAGCAGTTGTATTGCATATTATTCATTACTACGGAAATAAATCGACGAAGGTATTTATTTTTTAATATCTACTTAATCTTTCAACGTCACTGTGATTTGTGTGTTTTGTTTTATTTATTAAACAGGTAAAATCAATTATTGTATATTTTGCAACTATTTATTATATAAATAAACATTTTTTGAAAAAAATGTTCTTTGTTTCCTTAATTTTCAACGATACTTTATATTGCATAACCTGTAAAATAATTGAGATAAAAAGAAAAATAGTAAAATAGACTACAGAAAAATAGAAAAACAGACTACAGAAAAATAGAAAAACTGATTACAGAAAAAACAGATAAAAAGAAACTTAGAAAATAGACAAAACAAGACTGCTTAAAAGATTATTCTGAATAAAAATCAACGAAAGATTTGTTACAAATATTAGAACTCACATCGATATAGAATATTTAGTCAAAAAATGGAAAAAAATCGAAAAAGAAAAGCACAAAGCCAAAAAATTAATTTAATTCCTGATGCTGAATTGGTTATTATTCCTGATCCTGAAAAAAGAAACAGAATTGAAATTGATATCGAGCCAAATGTTTTGATTTTGAATGAAAGGAAAACGAAATCATGTAGAGTTCACGATAAATTAGATATTACTAAAAAAACAAATAAAATAGAAATTAATATCGAGCAAACTAATTTAAGTAAAAATAGAGCAGAATATATCCTAGATTCACCTAATTTTTTAAATAGTCAACCCATTAATACTTTTTCAAATAATCCTTTATTGGATCATGACTATTTCACTATTTCACAAAATCATGACGAAAGCGCCATTAACAATAATATAATGCAATCTAATGCAACTCAGTCAGTAAACAATTATATGTTTAATGAACACAATTATGCTAATAGCCAAAGCATTCCTTCATCCGCTAATGTGACGAATGAACATTACCTGGGTGCGATGGACATTCTGTGTATTCATTGCAACGCAAAACATTTTGCAGCAGAAAAAGTATCAAATAGGGGAAACTCTTTTAACGATTGCTGTAGCCACGGAAAAGTGAGATTAGATCCTTTGCCAGATCCACCACCAGTTTTGAAACAATTATTTAATGGCACTCATGATTTTTCAAGTCATTTTTTTAATAATATACGTAGTATTAATAATTCATTTTCATTTGCATCTTTTAATGCCAATTTAGTACAATTTAATAATAGACGACCGGGACCTTATTGTTTTAAAATTCAAGGGCAAATTTACTATCAATTTAATACATCATTATACCCAGATAATAATGAAATGCCAAAATATGGCCAGCTTTTCATACTTGATGCTAATGAAGCGACAAATCATCGACTTAATATGAATTCTAATTTAAATGCAGAAGTTATTCAAGCAATTGGGAATGTAATGAGACAGCATAATTTATTTGTTCATTCTTATCAAATGATGAAAGAAGAATTGGAGGCCATGACAATAGTAAATGGCGGTAAGGAACCTGAATTAGAATTATTATTCACACTAAAAAAGGGACAAGATAAAAGACGTTTCAATTTTCAAAGAGTTAACGAAGTTGCAGCAATTTTTTCAACTACAGCAGATGGTGAAATTCCAGAGTCATATGTTACAGTACGTAATAAGAATACCAAAAATTTGCAATACGTTAGCTCTATGGACGCAAATGTTGAACCTTGGACATATCCATTATTTTATCCTTATGGGAATAGAGGTTGGCATGATGGTCTTAAAATGGTTGGCAGTACACGCAGAGTTACTAGAAATGCTTACATAAAACACTTAATAGCTATTCGACAATACCCGAATTACATTTTAATGGGACGCCGCTTATTTCAGCAGTGGATAGTAGATCATTATGTTAAAACAGAGAAAGATAAAATGACTTTCTTAAAAAACAATCAAAAACAGTTACGTGCTGATTCGTATGAAGAACTTTTACAACATTTAGACAATTGTTCAGAAAATACAAACAACCGCATTGGAAAAGTTGTTATTCTTCCATCTACGTACACAGGATCACCAAGATATATGCAACAGAACTATCAAGATGCAATGGCTATAGTACGAAAATTTGGCAAACCTGATTTGTTTATTACAATGACTGAAATTGTTGATAAATTTATTTCAGCTGAAATTCCAGATCCTACTGAAAATTCTAGATTACATAAAATCGTCGAGGCTAATATGATTCATGGTCCTTGTGGAGATTGGTGTTTAGATAATAACGGTAAATGTTCCAAAAATTATCCACAAAAATTTAATGATCAAACAAATATGGATGAAGATGGTTATCCACATTATAAGCGACGAAACACAGGAAGTTATACACGTCGCGATGGATTTACATATGACAATCGAAATGTTGTACCGCATAATAGATATCTTTTGATGGTATTAAATTGTCATATTAATGTTGAAGTTGTAACAAGCATTAAAGCAGTGAAATATCTTTATAAATATATTTATAAAGGGCATGATGCTGCATCTGTTGTAATTCAGGAATCACAAAGCAATGAAGACCTAGGTGTTATTGAACACGACGAAATAAAAAATTATGTTGAAACTCGATATGTTAGTCCACCCGAAGCATGTGGACGTATTTTGAGCAATCATTTACAAGGTAAAAGTCATACAATCTACCGTCTTCCTGTTCACTTACCAAATCAACAAACTGTTTTAGTAGAAAATATTGATGATCCAAATTCAATTAGATCTGCACTGAACCGATCAACAGAACTCACGGAATATTTTAATATAAATAAAAGTGATGCAGAAGCTAGAAAATACACTTATTCGGAAATGCCATCACATTATGTATTTAAGAAAGAAAGAGACTCCTCCTTTTGGCAAAAACGCAAAAAGCAATTTAATACTTTGGGCCGTATGTATTCTGTCAGTCCGTCTCAAATAGAATTATTTCATTTGAGATTGTTATTAAACACAGTAAAAGGAGCAACAAGTTTCGAAGATTTAAGAACAGTGAATGGTATAGTACATGAGAGTTTTGTTGCAACATGTTTAACACTAGGCTTAATTGAGGATGATAATGAGTGGAAAAATGCTATGCATGAGGCAGAAGTTTGGATGATGCCTAGACAATTACGGCACTTATTTGTCCGAATTTTGATACATTGCCAACCTTTACATCCAGAAGAATTATGGGAAGAATTTAAAAATGCATTATCTCAAGATTACTTGAGAACAATGACTGAGAACTTTGCGCATAGGAAAGCATACATTCATATAAATACGTTACTTGCTGCCGAAAATTTAAGTATTTCAAATTTTCCAACAATGCCACAAACAGTAGAAACTATAAATGACATTGAAAGCGAAATAATGCTTGAACAACATCAAGCAGTTGGCACTGAACAATATCAAAAACTTAATGAGAGACAAAAAGAAATTGTAGATATCGTTTTAAATACAGTAAATAATGAAGTAGCGAATGATAATATATGTCGATCTTTTTTTATTGATGGACCTGGAGGATCTGGAAAAACATTTGTTTATACAACTTTATACCATTTATTAGAAAGTCAAGGGAAAAAAGTTTGTACTATGGCATTTACTGGCATTGCAGCTACCTTACTTCCTTATGGTAAAACTGTGCACAAAACTTTTAAGTTACCAATTTTAATTTACACTGATTCATCTCCAACTATTAAGGCACAATCTAAAGAGGCAGAATATTTAAGAAGTGTTGACGTATTTTTTTGGGATGAAGCTCCAATGGCCCCAAGACATGCATTAGAATTGGTTGACCGCACGTTGAGAGACATTATGAATAATAATAAGCCTTTCGGAGGCAAAATAATGGTACTTGGAGGTGATTTTAGACAATTATTACCAGTTAAACAAATGCTATTCGCAGCGAATTAGTTAATCTTTGCATTAAGTTTAGCTATTTGTGGCCTATTTTTTCACAATTTTCATTAACAGAAAACATGCGTGCATTGCCACATGAGAAAGAATTTTCAAAGTTTTTATTAGATGTTGGAAATGGTCCTGCTAATATTGACGAAAACAATCTTCAATTACCATCAGATAGTATTGCTTCATCAAATCTAAACATTGCAGAGGAAATTTATGGAGACGTAATTAAGAACAAAAGATTTGATGATCTGACAAAAATGGCAATACTATCAGCTAGAAATGTTGATGTTGATGATATAAACAGATCCGTCGTTGAGTTATTAGATATTTCAACGGAAAAAATTTATACCAGTGTTAACACTGTTAAAAACTGCGATAATGGTGAGATTAGTGAAGCGCTCTTACCAGAATATTTAGAAACGTTAAATCCGACAAATTTACCGCCACATGAGTTGAGACTAAGAGTTAATACAGTCGTCATGTTAATTAGGAATCTTTCAATTAGTGAAGGGTTATGCAATGGAACACGATTACAAATTTTAGAATTAAAAAATCATTTATTAAAATGTAAAATTTTAACTGAAGGAGATAGATTTGGTGAAATTGTTTTCATAAATCGGATAACATTGTATTGTGATGACCGGTATCCTTTTCAGTTCGGGCGTAGACAATTTCCAATAAAAATAGCTTTTGCAATGACGATTAATAAATCTCAGGGACAAACTTTTGAAAAAATTGGAATAGATCTTAGACGAGATGTTTTTAACCATGGTCAACTTTATGTTGCATTATCTCGTGTTCGTTCATGGGACTCCCTGAAAATATTCTTAGGAGATCAAAGGGAATCAAATATTGTAAAGAATTTTGTTTTTAAAGAAATCTATGATTGAGTCAGATACATCCAGAAAAAGCAATTTAATAGATATTATAATCTGTACAAGAGAAGATTTTTCCAGTAGAACAACATATAACATTTATGGCAATGAAATATTCTTTTATTTTTAGGCACTGAATGATAAAAATGACGTGACATAATAAAATATTATATGTCACGTTAGTTCTGACAGTGCCCAAATTAAATTTAAAATATTAGAAAACAAGCTTTTAAGAAAAAAAATTATTTTAGCATATAATACATATACATATGAAAACGCGAAATAATGAAAAAGAGAAAGGGCAAGCTGGATTTAAAAAAATTAATTTAATATGAATAATCGTACAATCACAGCTATGTTAAATGCCTGCGGGCAGGTGGAGCAAGAAGGACCCATGAGTGTGAGCGTAAAGAAAAATTTAAATTCTCTTTAGGTTGAGTCCACAATAGACAAATTTATCTTGATCAATTCATAGCCTCTGCAGAGCTAACAATACGACGCCTCCCGTTCATATAATGCTTATTGAAAAACAAATGCAAGATCATTCTTATTCAGTTTTTAGTGCAAGACAATTCTTATTCGATTTTCCGTGCAATAAAATGCTTATTCAAAATTGTGTGCAAAACAATTGCTACTGACAGAACAATAAATGTAACCCTAAATCATCTTTTTAATATTAAATTGCAATTAAATATCTGAGAATTTCAGTGCGTATCTATTGTTATTAGAAAATTTAATACTTGATTATCTCTTACGTATTAAGAAATATTGTTTAAGCAATTGTAATTAAAAATTATATTCAATTGAAAATTTTATAAAACTCATAGTGTAAGCTAATTTCAGATTGTACTTTTTAGCATAGAATTTTGAATAAGCATTTTATTGCACGGAAAATCGAATAAGAATTGTCTTGCACTAAAAACTGAATAAGAATGATCTTGCATTTGTTTTTCAATAAGCATTATATGAACGGGAGGCGTCGAATAGAAAAACAATGGAAAACAATATAGAGGGTATGAATTGCTTAAAGGAAAAGTTGTCTATTGTGGACTCAACATTATTGTTCAACGCAATAAGCAGCAACGTAGGCATGTGAATGCTGCTTAATTGATGGAAAGACAGAAAATTTAAGCAAGAAATGACAAAAGAATTAAAAATAAGGATTTTTAATAGAAAGTTTATAAGAGAAAAGTAGCAGAAAATTGAAATGAGAATAGGCAGGGAACTAGTACAGAAGACGGCCGCGTAGCGGCCGTTGACTGCGCTAGTAGTAGGAAAAAAATAAGTTACCTTTTAAAACTTAAATTTTACACTACTTTTACACTTCTGAATCACTTTACTCATTGTAAGAGCGACTTCTTTTTTGGTTTGTATTCTTAAAAATGCGTTACATCAAACAATAACGTACATATTTATCGCAGAACTTAATTTCTTACGGTTTCTAGGTGCGGTGCTGCTATTCGTTTTATTTATTTTATGTTTCCGCTGTCAGATAACTTAAAAACTCAGGTAGTTCACTTAAAGTGGCGGTCCACTCAATGTGACATTACCCTACACATCCTTATATGAAATCAGTAGATATGCAAATTAGGTAAAGAGAGACATTCTAATGTTATTTACTTTCGAAAGAGGAAGAAAGCAATAGCGTTAGATTTTCTGCGTTATAAACAGAGACCGATAATGGTATTTAGTATCTAGAAAGAAGGAGACAGTAAGATATTTGAAATAAATATATATATATATAATTTAAAGAGAAACGAAAGGTCTGCTCGAGTACCTGGTCTATTGTTTGAAGGGTTTCTTTCAACCAGTAGGCAGTCTATTGAGTGACCAGTGAGCAGAGAGAGAGAGAGAGAGAGAGACTATGAATTAGTAGTAAGCATGAGTGCGAGTGAGATTCAAGCAAATTATATACAGGAGCGTTACTGGTAGTCTAATTTAGACTACCAGTTTTTTATTTTTTAGCATTGGTAGTCTATTTTATATTTGAAGTAAGTATATATATACACTGTAAAAAATTAATGGTGTTAACGGACTCGGGAGTTGGGAGTGAAATTTTTCGAGTTAAAAATCAACTCCAAAAGAAAGTTAATTTCTAACTCCCTTCATTCAAAACCCGCGCGAGTTATTTTTTCCTTGGGGAGTTAGCATTTGGGTGTAAAGTTTTAACTCTCTTTATTTAACTCCCCTGGCATTAACTCCCCAATGGGTGCGACTTTTATAGAATCCCCTGGGGAGTTAAAATTTAACTCCCTTTTTTTACAGTGTAGTTACAGTTTATTAACACATTTTTGCAGTATATAATACAGAAAAATAAAAGTCCAAAGTGAAGAACATGTTTTTTTCTCTTTTCAAAATTAAAAAAAATAAGACGAAAAAAATTTTTGTGATTAAAAATAAGGATAAGGAGGTAAGTTTTTAAAAATTGTGTAAAATACTACTTTTTAATGATATAAAATAATTTTTTTGTCCTACCTGCACGGAAAGTATGTCATTTCGAGCACTAAGAGCGGGCGCAAAGTGACTCATTACAACCCAGGGGTAGGGGAAGCGGGCATTAAAATGTGATATTTTCGAGTTTCTTTTTATGTTGACTATAAAAATGCAAACATTTTCAACTTGTTTTATTTTTTCTAGAAAAATGTGCAATTTTTTTTCGATTTTCTCTAAAAAAAATTAAGACACATTTGGTTTTGTTCACATTTAGGTTATAAAAATTGGCAATTACTATATTTCCAGAATACATTGTTTTCTTATTTCTATATTAAAACTTGTATCATTATAGACTTCAAAGAGTTAACATTTATAGAGAGTTTAATTTTTGACTAATATGAGCGTTTAATCGTTCGTGCCCTCAATGACATACTTTCCGTGCAGTTAGGACAAAAAATTATGTTAGCATCATGGGCGCAAAGGTGATTACGACGATGGCGAAATTTCGGGACCTCGGGGACACTTTCGCCATCGTCGCAATCACCTATTTTGCGCCCTTGATACGAAAATAACTATTCTTTTTCTTGTAAAGAAATTTAAATAACTTTCTAGAATCATTTAAAAAATGCTTGATCTCGTCCTTGAGTTTGCCTTGTTTTATTAAAAAATTAATATAATTTCAGGAATACTTTACATGGTTTAATATTTTTTTAATAAATCTTAAACAAGTACCCAGTTTTTTATTATACAAAAGTTTATGTTGCTTAAACAGAAAAAGAAAATTTTTGATTTCAGTTCAAAATTAGATGGTGGGGCGAAAAGGTAAATGTATTTTTACATGTTGTTAAATTTCTTTTGTTTTTGATTTTTTGGGCTTATTTGTTTAAAAATGACTTATTTGACATTAGGGAAGTACTCTGTCAAAAAACAAGACCGTTCACGTAAAATAAACCAAAATTTTTTTTTTTGAAAAATTTTTTTTTTAACTTTATAACTGTTCTAAAGCTTTTGTGCAATAAACACAGATCTTTTATTAACTAAATAACTTGTTTATGAATACTTTAACTTATCTACTACTTAACACCTATCAGAAAATAGTTTTAGTAGGCTAGAAATAGAATTCAACATTTCGCCCCAGCATGGGGCGAAAAGTAAAAAAAAACAAAATTTTCAAGAAAGGACAAAACATGTATTGTATGAGAAAATATCAGAAACTTTTTTATTGAAAGTTGTAGGGGACAAGTTGCCCTACAATATTGATATATAAATATTTGCATCTAAGCGGATTATATTGTCTAAAAAAAATCATTTATGCAAAATTTAACTTTTCGCCCCAGTTTCCCCTACATTTTTACCCTACGAGGGTAAAATTTGTTGCGTGTTATTTTATCACAAATTCAGGTTAAAACAACACTTTTCATTTCCTGTGTAGCACTAACATGTAGTATTTACACAATTTTCGCAGATAGTGTACAATTAATTAAAATTGATTTAATAAATGGTAATAAATCATTTATCAGATATCAAAATAAGTGAAACAATTTCAAAAAAAATTTTATTATTAAAGTAATTTGGTGTTGAAGTTCTGGATCATTTTATTTTCATGTTATTATTACTTTGAAACAAATAATGATAATAAAGTAATTTCTTTTAAATAAAGCTTAATGTCTATACCTACTTTAATGATAAAATAAAAAG